ATATATATATATATATATATATATATATATATATATATATATATATTATTAGATCGATTCATTGATTTATTGATTAATTGGTTAAATAGGCATCATTATTATTTTGTTCATCTTCTCTATTGACGCTTATACGTATGGCGCTCCTTTCGACGAATCGGAATGGGTATCCGGAAAATGGAGGATCGGGAAATTCGGAAGGGAACGAAACTCGAAGGAGAGGAATCCATTCGTTTGGATGCGCAATTCTGAGCAGAAAAGAAATGAATCGAATGTGGAATATCTACAATGGCTTGTGAAAAATTGGAAAGATAATGGCGAGAAGAATAGAAATATAAATAGGGAGAAACTTTTCATTGCTTTAAATTTACCACGGTTAAAAAACAAATCCGATTCTTCCGATACCAGCTCCGATTCCGAAGAAACAAAACTGAGAATTTTATCTAATAAGAAGAAATGGAATTTCGTGGGGCAAAAATCGAACGAAAAAAATAAAAAGCAGAAGGAGGAAGGGGAAGAGGAAGAATCTATGGAGAAAATGTCTGACGAATTAAGTATTCGTAAAAAAAGATTTTCCGACGAAAAAGATTCTCGTGAAAGAAATTCTGATAAAAATGATCATCGTGAAAATAATTTTTTCGAATCGACGGATGAAACTGATTCGAGCTCGTCTGAAAGATCAAATGAATATTTTGATTCAAGAGAAAAAAAAAGGAATTCAGAGGATTCAGAGGAATACGATAGTCGCAAAAGTTCGAGTTCTAGTTCCAGTTCGTGGGAATTTGATAGCAATGAAGAAAAATTCAATGATTATTTAAAAGATTTGTTAAAGAAAAACCAATATTATAAGGAAATAACCGAAATGTTGAAAAATTACAAAACAGATGTTTATTATGAGAGATTGTATAAATGGAATAAAGTTAAGTATCTGGAATGGAGGAAAAACATAAAACTAAAGAATAAAATATTGGACGAAAAGGAAAATTTAAGTATGGAGATATTAAGGAGAATTTGTAACGTATCGACCAACATTAAACGTAAAGAACAAGAAAATCGATTAAAAAACTGCATAGGATTTTACATATCTACGAAGGATGAATTTAATTTTACAGCGGATTTATCAGTTTATTTTGAGGATACGAAAATTAAAATAGGTAAGATGTTTATTAGATTTCATTTCATATCTACATAAATATAATTGATCGTTTAATCTCTCGATAGATGGTGAAGAATCGCCTTCTAACAAAGGTTCCAATAATGGATATATACGTACAACTGAAGGAATGAAAAATTTTTCGACAAACGAAGAAAAATCTTTCGACAATGGAAACAGAGATGAAACTATTGACGGCGAACAAAAAGGAAAAGAAGAACAAGAAGAAGAAACAAAGTCTAGTTCGCGAAAAGATGAAATAGACAACGATGAGAAGCCAACAGATCGAAACTTTGATAATGTGACACAAGTAACATGGTTTTCACAGATTGGGACCGAAGAAAGAACACAAACATCGAAAAATGAAAATTTAACAAATTTTGAGAACAATACGAATAGGTGGGAAGATTCGAATGTAATTTGGAGTACAACTCCTCGTAAATATTTAGAAATTGAATCTTCTGAAGCATCGGAAAATCGATCGACGATTTTCGAAGCATCGAATGTTAGGGATAATGATCGAAACAACGATTTGGATAAGAATACATACGTACCGAGCAATAATGAAAATGAGAATATACGACAATCCGATAATACCGAATCAAATGGATCGAAGGATTTAAATATTAGTGAATTCACGGTGATTTCAGCAAATCAAGAACAATTTCCCGATCAACTTCACGAATCGAAGCTTCTACGATATGGGCGAAAGATGGACTGTCTACAATATCGAGTATCAAATTTGAAACAATTGATAATAACGATAATTTTACTACATCCAGCGACACTAACTTTACAATTGCAGCAAGCAATGATATAAATAATAACGAATCGTTCAATGATGATAATAATGTACAGCCAAATCCTAGTTCCGATAAATCTAACGAATTAAAAAATGAAGAAAGGATAGAAGCATCGAATAGGATAACAGATGCATCGCCTGTATCATCTGTATATCAAACAGAAAATTCTCAAGTAGCAACTTTAACAATATCTATAGATGGGAATAACGAGCAAACAACAACTTCTGCTTCGCAAAATATAAATTCTAACGATTCTAGATTTAAAGATCAGATGATGGAAATGTGGAGTCAAGAATCGGGAACAAGCTACAGCGATGGTGTTTCGATTATCGCGAATATTAATGTTGAAATCAATACTGTTCGGACTGAGAATGAAACGAATACTGTCGATTCGAGTGTAGCGAATACTCAAACAGCTTTACATTCGACGATAGAAAAAGTAGGATCAACTGAAAGCTTAAGTCCCGAGTCAGAAACAACACTTATCGATGTATCGAGTAATAACGAAAAAGCTGATACGGATAAAGCAAATGGTATTTTGAAAAATAAATCAACTACCGATGCTAATGGATGGACAAGTTCAGATAACAGCGAATCACCGACCGCAAGAAGAGACGAAGAAACGACGATAAATTATCAAATTGATGATTCGATTGTGACAAGAAAAGAAGAGGAAGCTGAAGCGTCAAACTCGCAAACGGAACAATTTTTCATAGCGACAACAGCAACGAACAGAATGTTAGCGTAATTATAGTCGAACCGAATAAAATTTTGATAGAAGATGATAATTTAATTATTAGCGATATTAATGAACAAACAGATTCAATTGTTGAAATGATAAACGATAATGAATCTACTACGAAAGCTGCACAAATAATATTATCTTTCTCTCAAACTGAAGAATTTGATATATTAAAAACGGAACAATCAAACGATGATCAATCTAAAACTATCGATTTTGTCAATGTTATCACAGATAATGGAAACAATGGAATTGATGATAATTCCACCAGTATTAATGAATCAACAATCGAAAGAGAAGAAATAATGACATTTTCTTGGAAAATTTTACCGATACCTTAACGGAGATAACGACGACTCAAACAATATTTTCGCAATTACCAGAAATAATTATCGGAACTGGCGATGATATATTTGAAAATAGAAATGATAAAAATATTCCTGAACTTACAACTTTGGAAAATTTACAAACAACATCATTTTCCATGCAAACTGAAAAATCTAATACAAGTGAAACGAAACGATTAATAAAAGGGGAAGCATCGTCTATCCAAACGGAAACAGATTCAACCGCTTTCACAACTGAAATAGAAGAAATAGAAGCATTTTCTTCGAATAGTAAAAATTCTACCATTACGGAAGCAGAATTGACAACTGTAAAATTATCTTCAAAGTTAGAAAGTGAATTCACAACTTTAGAAAATATAGAAACAACATCGTCTTTTCTTCAAACACTTTCGAATAGATCTGAAGCGAACGAACCGATCGAAACATCGAGTACTCGGACTGAAACGATTCTTATTAATAACAGCACCGTTATGTCGATTAATATAAACGATAGAACAAACAAAGCGAGCGATAATTTGAAAGATGATAAAAAATCGACTAATAGTATCGATAAAACAGATAAACTTACAACTTTGAAAGAAATCGAACCTGATTATTCGTCCACTAGTGGATATGATAATATTACAGAAGCGAAAGCGCAAACTGTAAAACTAGAAATAATCATTTCTGATACCAATGGCACTAAAACGGATAATTTCGTAATCATGGTTGATAGTGGCAATATTTTCAATGTATCTGGCAATATGAAAATAAATTCCAATGTTAAAGAATCAAATATGCCAATAACGGATACTCAAATATATAACACAGTGATTTCAAAAGCAGTTACATCAGCTGAACCAATTGTAAATTTAAATCCCGAATCTCCTGTAAATGAAATGCCTATTTAGTAGGAATATCGGATCCATAGAAAGAAGTCCAAAGAAAGTCGATATTGATTAAAATTATAAATTAATACAATACATCGATATGTAATTTGTATTTTAATTACTTTTAATGCTTTCTTGCAATGATGTATATATATTTAAAATATAATAATTGTATAAGCGTAATTGTTAATTTACGATTAAAACTATTTTATTATTATTATTATTATTAAGAATAAATAATGGAGGATAAATAATTAAAATATGTAATATATCTTTCTTATCGCATCATACAAATGTTACTACCAAATGTTTAAACTACTTTGTTGTTGTATCGTTTCGTGAAAAAAAAGTTGTATGTAAGCGATACAATAAGCAACGGAAGATAGCAAAATGTTGGTATTATCACGAAGTTAGTTGTTGGCATGATCGTCGTAACGAGTATCCAACTGTTCACCAACGCTGATCCGGTGGGTAAGATTCGTGACGGCATGGCAGTCATCCTGAAGCGATCGGTCGGTACAGTGTCCGTGACACGTTCTATATCGGTCAGTGATATCTCGACCTGTCCTCGATCGGGTCAAAGTGCGCATTTACGGTTCTCGAATAAACGCAACCAGTCGTGTCGACAAACTGGAACGACAAACCGCTCTTGCTCCTCCGCTTCATTCCAACGCGTCCAAATTCGATAATAATCGAATAAATAGTTATTCGCATGCCTGTTGTATCGAGTAAAAGGCACACGTCCGAAATGCCGCTATTTGAAATTCAATAAAATAATCCATCGATTCTTGCTCGCTCGGTGAATCTTTAACGAGATCTCGTTTTTTGATTTATTTGAACGAATGCTATCGATGATTTCATTAGTTAGAGTGTGTTCCGATTGAAGTATAGGTAAGTAGGTAGTAGATTACAAGATCAGTTTTGGTTAACGAGATGTGGCCAATTTTGTTAACCTTGGCAGTGACGGCTACTCTGGGAGAAGTGGTGAATGTTCATGTGAACAATGTGAGTAACGTTTCTTTATGGGAAATGTATCGATATAGAATATAATCGAATCGATAGATTTTATTAATTATTACTCGTGAGATACTATCTCGTGAGAAAATTCGAAAAAATACCTTTTCTATATATTTTTACTACTTTATATATATAAATTAGCGTAGTAATCTTTCTTAGAAAAGATTTAAGAAAAAGTCGTTAAATTTTCATTAGATTTTCATCATCATAGATATTTGTAGATTTAATCGATTAATCGATCAACGAGATGATAGAATTTATTAGAAAATTTGCAATTTCAGGATACGCAATGGAAACTTGGATTCGAAGTCGATTACGAGAACGATCGTTTTCTATTGGACGGAAAACCTTTTCGATACGTTTCCGGCAGTTTTCACTATTTTCGAACACCTAGACAATATTGGAGAGATCGTTTCAAAAAAATTAGAGCAGCCGGATTAAATGCCGTTTCAACGTAAGTTATTTTTCTCACGTTTTCAACAAAAACTTGCAACAATTCAACGTTCGTTCGATTGTTTTTGAAAATAATGAAAAGAAGTCATGTGATAAATCACGTTATATATTTCTTTTTTTTAAAATCGTTATTCGCTACATACATATATAATTATTTAACTTATATTTAATATATCTCTATATATTTCGCATCGGAAAAATTATCTTTTTAATTGATTTTACGATCTATCAATCTTTTGTTCTTCTTCAACGACACGATATTGTTGATAATATATTTATATTATCTTTTTACAAAATTTAATAGATTTATCGCTTATTTTCGAACAAAAATTTTTGGATTTAGACGTTGCTTCTTCTTTCAAATTAAATATTACAGTTACGTGGAATGGAGTCTTCATCAACCGAGTGAAAATGAATGGTATTGGACGGGTAATGCGGATTTAGTAGAATTTTTAAATATTGCTCAAGAAGAAGATTTGTTCGTCCTTTTGAGACCAGGCCCTTATATTTGCGCGGAGCGAGATTTTGCAAGTATTTCATTGAAATTACTTATCTTACTTACCAAGAATTTATATCTTACTTAGATCAAGAATTTTTATACGATATAATTTGAACATATATATATATATATATAATTTGAATATATACACATTATTATATATTAATAATATTTATAATTTTAAGAAATAATTTTTATCAACGATGTAATGATTTTTAAAAATAATTTCTGCTTCGTATTATTTTTATGGTACTTATGGTTCATTTAGGGTGGTCTTCCTTACTGGTTATTGACACTTGTACCAGATATAAATTTACGTACAAATGATCCACGTAAGAATTTTTAATTTCGATTTTTTTATTCTAATTCCAATTAAATATTCATTGCTTTGGAAATTTATTTTTACCATTGTAATGTTTCTTTTGTTTTCTAGGATACATGAAATATGTGGAAATATATTTGAACGAAGTATTTAAAAGAGTCATTCCCTACCTCAGAGGAAATGGAGGACCTATAATAATGGTTCAGGTATCAATAGAATAAATGGAATATCTTTCCTTTTTTTTTTTTTGTTTTTTATTTCTAATATCGATATTTGTTGATCGATATTGATAATGTTTTCACAATTATCAATGTGTTTAAAAGAAAGAAAAATGTAAATTTATTTCTCTTCTTTAGTTATTTTTAAATTTTTTTTTTCCATTTATATTTAACAACATTATAAAATTAAAACACTTTGCAAAATAAAATATATTCACATGGACAAAATATATTGCTATATATTTGAAATCGATTAATTGCGAATTCAACAATAAGAATGAAATATTATATTTGTTAATATTAATAGCTAATAAATCCAATTTCGATTGTGTTTTTAGGTGGAAAATGAGTACGGAAGTTATTCGTGCGATAAAGAATATTTACATCATCTGAGAGATATAATGAAACGGAAAATTGGTACAAAGGCGCTTTTATATACGACGGATGGATCAAATAGAAATATGCTGAATTGTGGCTCTATATCAGGTGTTTATACAACTATCGATTTTGGAACTAACGCGAACGTGACGAAAAATTTCGAAATAATGCGTCTGTATCAACAGCGAGTAAGTAATTGAACGATCGATAATCGAAACAATTTTTAATTTGAAAAATTAGAAACGAAAATTAGAAATTGTTATATATATATATAGTATATCGAGATAGAAAATATTCTTTTTTAAGTTTACATCGTTTATTATTAAAGAATATTGAATGCAACAGTTGCTGTATCACAAAATCGTAAAGATCGTAAGAAAATCTTATACAAAAAACACACACACACATTTAATTGCAAATATATAAAATATATTATATTATAATATATATATATATATATATATCTCGAACATGGGATAAAATTGTATCGTCGAGATAAAGTTGTGTATTCTTGGCAAAAAGAGCAAGAAAATAAAATATAATTATAAGGATTATTAAAATGATTAATTTATGATTTATTTTTTTTTTTTTTTTAGGGCCATTAGTAAATTCAGAATTTTATCCCGGATGGTTAACACATTGGCAAGAACCGTTTCAAAAAGTAAATGTTACAGCAGTTGCAAAAACTTTAAATCAAATGTTGTCTTTGGGTGCTTCTGTTAATATTTATATGTTTTATGGTGGAACGAATTTTGGTTACACCGCTGGTTAGTAAATCTTTCCTAAGATTTTATTCTGAACTCTTATTTGCAAAATTTTGTTTAAAAATATAGCAATACGCAAAAAAATTCAATTTATTTTATTATCGAAATTTCAAAATATTATCAAAATTATTAAAATATCCAACAAAGATATTGAAATAAAAAGATATTACTAAGAAGTTGGACATATAATGATTAAAAATTTGTTTTATGAATTGTAAAAAATATTATATTTTGTTGATAATACCGTAACGTATGTTATATTTTATTTGTGCAATTTAAAATGTTCGTTATTTTTAGAAATCATTCGTATCTCAAAATCATATTCCGATCAGAAACATGTAACGATCGTTATATGAATAGAGAATGTCTTGCAAAATGTGTATAATACGCGATATAATACTTCACTAATATAAGTGAAAACTTAAATCTGAAAACATATATAAAATTATAATATAAAAAATATGTATAAATAAATAAATATAATTTCCGATTGCTTTGTAATAGTTTTTATAATCTTTGCAATGATGATTTTATGAATTAAAATTAAGATCGGGTAAATTGATCTTAGATTCAAAATGATTTTAATGATGTTGTGTAATGATATAAATATTATATTTTACATAATATTCTTTATATACTTATATACTTTATATCATCTATATATATATAACATATTAATTTAACGTTAAATATCAAACATACGATTCCAGGGGCTAATGGTGGCGAAAATGTATACAATCCACAATTAACTTCCTATGATTATGACGCTCCGTTAACCGAAGCTGGTGATCCAACATCAAAATATTTCGAGATCCGGAATATCGTATCTAAGGTATTTACGTTTTTTAATCTCTAACCGTATTTCGTTCTATATATATATACATATATTTATTGTAGTATTTGCCATTGCCAAATGTGTCACTTCCAACAGTGTCTCCGAAAGGAGATTACGGTTCGATTCTATTGTCGCCAATCCTAAAATTATTCGAATCTCAAGGCCGACAATTATTCGGAACAATTATCGCCCAAGGATCGGATCCACTAACGTTCGAAGCATTGGGATTATCTCATTGGTTGGTATTGTACGAGACTGACATAATACATAGCCCTAAGGATCCTGCGATTCTGTACGCAAAAGTTCGAGATAGAGCATTAGTTTACGTAGATGATCACCTGGTTGGAACCTTAAGTCGTACCAGTAACATCTATCATTTAAGTATAGAGGAGCCTTATGGACAAAAATTGAAATTATTGATCGAGAATCAAGGAAGGTTAAATTATGGAAATGGACTTCGTGATTTTAAGGTTTCTATTTTTTTTTTTTTAATAAGCAACAAACAGTAAAAGTAAATTATAAACTCGTATCGTTATATATATATATATATATATATCTAATGGAAATTAATATAGAAAAAAGAAAGATAAGGTAACGTATATTTCTTCGTTCATTGGATATTTTTTATTTACCAGGGAGTCACAAATGTATCTCTAAACAATATTCCCCTTGGACCTTGGAAAATGACTGGATTTTTGCTGGATAGTGTCAATCCGCTTATCAACGTCAATTCCAACATATCCGTAAGTGGAACTCTTCACGATGGTCCAGTTATACTTCGAGGAACTTTCTCGATCTCTGACCAACCGATGGACACGTATTTAAACACTGATGGTTGGGGCAAAGGAGTTGCTTTCGTGAATGGACACAATTTAGGTCGATACTGGCCATTGGTTGGCCCTCAAATAACTCTTTATATTCCTGCATCTTTTTTAAGAACGGGCGAAAATGAAGTGGTGTTAATCGAATTGGAATACGTACCAAACAGCGAGAAAATGAAATTGCAAAAGGAACCGATACTCGACTTCGGTGCTAAATATTCAAATAACGGAGATAATTCGAATGATATACGTGTTTTGATTTGATCAGTTTTTAATTTCCTTTCTTTTTCTTTAAAATATTATTCAAATATTATATTATTGTTTAATGAGAAATTGTGCGAACAAATAAATAAAAAATATCAAAAATACAATTACATTTCTATAGTATGATATTTCTTAATGAATATTATTATCATGCGTATACCAGTTTGTCCGTATACTCGTAATTATTGTTATTTAAGGAAAATTAAAATCAACGATATAATAATTAACGATAATGATATAACGGTAATAAACAATTTAAAACGCTCAATTTTAAACATTATAATTTTATTACATTTATTAATAAATTATAATATTGTATAATAAATTTATACAATAAATAAAATTTACTCGCGTATACTTATCTTTCGCTTGAAATGATTCATTTTTAACGTTTATCGTTTAAAAAACAAATCAATTATTTCAATTATTATATTTTCAATAATGGAACGGCATCCATGAAGTCCAAGAATAAATTGCGGGAAATTGACTTTTAATTGTTTCTTCGAAACTAAATGCAGTTATCGTTGCTTTATTATTTTCTATGTTTAAACAATTAACAATATTTCGATTTAGCATATTGAAATCGTGAGATCGTTCGTGTGATCGTAAATTATTCATCATAGAAAATTGTTTTTTGCATATATTACAATGATACGATCGATTTCCTGAAAAGAAATCATATATAATTTTTCTTTCTAATTTTTCTTTTCTTTTCTACAATACATAATAATTTATTCTAATTTTAAAAAAAAATCAATAAAATAGTTGCGTATATTTCTTATATCCGATATTCGAACAGATCGAGAAGAAATTGGGTCGGATCGGCTCGGCTCGGCTCGGCTCATATCTCAAAAATATCTGAAGATTTGGGATTTTTTTAGGGATTTTTAAAAATATCAAGTTCCTCTAAAATTTTAAGGAACTAAATAACATTTTGTGTCAAATTAAATATATCAAATATGTCAAATTAAAAGGATAGTTCCAAAATTTTCAGGAATTCCATGATATCTAAGAAATGAAAAATTCGAAATTCTTGGGACAAATTCCTGACAATCTACCGACTATCACAAAATATTATAGTTTCGAGAATTGGAGATCCGATCCCGAATCGAGTTCTCGATCCAACCTGACATTTTCGAATTCTCGCATGTTTCTAAAAATAATATACCTACTTTTTTATTAACTTATTTGTTTATTTTATCGATTTAATTATTATTATTAATCCTTTTTTAATTCATAAAGTGTTAAAAATCTGTGAAAAATTATAAGCACTTGTCGATATTTAATTAATATTAATTACCTATGTGCACTTGCATATGATGATGTAAAGCTCCAAGTTTGCAAAATCCCCGATTACAAACCGAACATCGGATAGGCCAGTTACCACTATGAGAATACCCATGGGTCCTTAAATCACCAGGGGTTGAAAAAGAACGACCACATTCGTTGCATTTATGAGGTTTCTCCTACATATATATATATCACGATTGCAGATTAATAAATTATTATCATTATATTATATTATATAAGTTTTAAATATACCACCTTAATTATCGTTACTTTACGATATATCATTTATAACAAAAAAAATAACACGATTTAATTATTATATTTATGATGGCATTGCACTTAAAGACATTTCATAATTAAAAGAAATACGTAATAAAATATATATACTAAAAATTATATACTAAGATCATATTCAGATAATTTAAAAAACAATTTTTAATTATTAGATTGTTAATTGTCAAATTGTGTATGGATTGTTAATTATAAAATACATATTTATAAAAATAATTCAAATAATCATTGCAACATTATATTTTTTTTCTTATTTGAAATTAGAATTTAAATCAATTATTTACTATATATATTTCAACAAGGATATTGGATACTATTTGAAAGATAAAGTAAATTATCGATTCGATTTCTCGCATAATCGATCACCTACTAATTTTACCTATACAAATTGATCCGCACAATTTATTATTATAATTAAACGATCTAATATTACCTTTATATTTTATGCTGTATAAAATGTTGAAAAATATTAACAACTTTAAAATAGCATTTTAATAAAAAACCTTATAATGAGTCATTTGATGATAATATAAATTCGACGAAGCTGTGAAACGTTTCCCGCAAATGAGACATTCGTGTGGTCGTTCTCCCGTATGTATTCTGACGTGTGTATTCAACGAGCTACTTGTACTGAACATTTTTCCACACACAATGCAACCATGTGGTTTTTCACCTATTAATCGTGTATAATTTTATAATTCCATTGTAATTCAATTTTATTCTATAAAAACTTACTATTACTTTAAATATTTTTAAAAAAGTAACTATACAAATACAAAATAATAAATATAATTATATTCGAATTTGTAAATTGTAAATTGATTGATATCTGACGAATTACTAATTAAATTAATAATAATGAAATTTAATTACATACTAACCTGTATGCGTTCGTAGATGCCTTTTGAGCAAAGACGGTCTGTCAAAGTTTTTGCCACACGTTTGACAAGATAAACAAAATTTTTGAAACTTCGATGAATTTAACAAATTTATTTTCCTTTCAGAACTTCGACAGCTCAAATCTAAAGGCGTTTCTTGCACTATGTTGCACATTGTTTTATTTAATAATAAAATTACGAAACATAAATCACAATTTACTTAAAAATATATTTATATTTCAATAAAGAACGAAACTCATGTTAATTGATATTCTAACAATTTAGGCAATTCGTTCAAAAAATTTAATTCTAACAAACTGGAAAAAATTATTTATTCAATTATGTTTGACTCTTACCAGACATTACAAACTCTTTTTGCAAATTTTCTTTTAATTAAGACGATTTTAAATTTTTTAAATTTCTTTTAATTAGTTAAAAATTCTACAAGATTTAATATTAAAGATAAAAATTCCCGCACTTCACCAAAGAATCCAAACATGAAGAAGGATAAATTTGAATTAGATGCTTACTACCCCAAATAGATGCCACCGATCACAAGTGAGAAAGAGGGTTGTAACTACGAAGGCGCATGTCGAGAGGCGGTATTTTTTTCCGGAGGGCGGAGTTTGATAAATGCATCTTCTTGTAATGTACATCATCATCATGGTACATTATATATAAGTAATTATTTGCAAAAATATAAAATGTACAAAATTGATTATCTTTATTCTTTTTTTTTTCTTTTGTAGGTATATTCTATTCTTTAATATCCGTAATTATTTATGAATAATAGATAAATCATAATTAATTTTTTATTACATAATAAATATTTAAATTGAAATGTGTAATGAATAATAACCCAAATATAAATACGGGATTAAATATTTTTTAAATACGTATGAGATAAAAATATATAATATAAAATATATAAAAATAACTTTTTTTAAAAAGTAAACATTTTATCATATGAAATTTTTACGCTCAAATTAAAGATGATTTGAAAATTTTTAAATATATAGAAAATTAATATATAATGACATTACGAATATAGTATATTAAATAAAAATAATATACTGTCACTCCATATGATTCCTTCTATTATTTTATAGCATAAATCGGTATCAAGAATTTTTAAAATGACACCGCATTATCACATAAAAGTAAAAGTCATGTAAAAATTTACTTGCATATTATTTGCAAATTTACTTATAACAAATTACATTACATTTTCTTCAAATAATTTAAAAAATATTTTTTCGTAATGTCCAATTTCAATAATTACATTTGTTATTTATAATTTTTCTCTGTTAGAATATTCCTTATAAGAAAATATACTATAAGTATTGAAATCGTTTAAATAAATAAATAATTTGGAATACTTAATTATCTTAATAGAACGATACGTATATACGTATAATAATAACGCTATGTCACGATATTGACGATTTTTCACAGTATTCTACAAAAGGTGAGGTAATTTGTTGTATGGCATTGAAATGCCAGACATATTCTGCAACATCACTCCCTCGTTTGTCATCCGAGAGGATATTAACTCTATAGTATCATTGCAAATCGCTTCTTCATCGACCACAATACCAATAATAATATCTCAATTTATATCATGTATATCGAAATATAACCGTGAAAAATCGATTTTTTAGATGTTTCACATTTATTTTAAACTTTAAGGAAATTACGAGAAACTTTTAACTTTTTTTTATAAAATTGGGATAAATTTTAAAAAAATACGAAAAGAGCTATTCAAGATATTTATTTTAACGAATAATATATTACAAATCATTATGTTTTTTTATATGATTATATTATTATTATTAACAAAAATATTTTTTTTCTATTCATATATATATATTTATATGTCTTAAAAATAATTATGCATTTCAATTTATACGCATTAATATTTTTTTATTTAATTGTTGAAAAAAGTAATCATAGATTTATACTGTATCTGATATTTCCATTTTATCATCTTTCGATTTTTGTTCTTCGATTTTAGGATACTTCTCTATATTATCAAATTTACTCTCATCTTCGCTCTCTATATCATTTTTTGAGGTTTTTAAATTTATTGTTTCTGCATTACACGCGGCAGAATGAGCCGCTTGTGCTTGTGGAGAAGTATCAGATTTTAAAATTTCACGCAATGCCATAGTTGCGTATGTAGATGGTTTCAAAGACATTTGTATTATTATGGCTTTGAATCTTCCTTCTGAAAAATTACAAAATATCAGAAATATTAATACATTTTTGATTTGTCTTAATCTTATATATCTATTACATATTAAAAAATTAAATAAAAATATCAATAAAGCGTTATACTTGGATCATCTTTTGGAGGTGATGATTTTCTCATTTCATCGATATCACACATAATAAGATCACTATGCTTCTCTGTATAATGCATAATTTTCCAAGATAAATTTGAAGGAATTTCTAATATTTTTCTATAAGCACCTCCTAAACTATATTTTCTGAAATTAAATAAATATTATAAATTATACAAAATATAGTATTATTAAATATTAGTATTATTAATAAATATTTAAAATTTATCCATAATGACTTATTACTTATTTCTTTGCCTCAAATCGGTAGTTAACCCGTCTTTTGCTAAAAATTCATCGAACCATGGCTTGGCATAAGATGGATATATAACTCTCCAACCAACCTGTGGCATTAATACATCTGCCAAAGTATAATTTGATAAATCATTTTCTTCGAGTACTTTTACCGGTGGTAGATTGCCTATTTCATAAGTTGAAACTTCACTTTGTTTTTCATTCTCATCAATTTTAATACAACATTCTGCAGCATTTGTTATTTCTTTAATTGAAGTATTTGGTGATTTTTCTAAAGTTTTAGTAAATTCCTCGATTTTTACTTTCAAGTTTGATTCGGTATCAAGTTCATTTATTTTTTGATCAAATTCTTCCGCATTAATCTCAGTTATGACTTCATTTTCATTGTCATAAACGAATTGTTCTTCGTTATCATTTTCTTTTACATTATTTTCATATACTAAATCTCCCACTATAGGATTCTTCCCAAATTCTTTTATTCTTCTTGATACCATATGATTCCATACAAAACTTTGATAGGCATGAATATACATTAAACGAGCATTTCTTGGTATTGAATCCAAAGCACCTTGAGGATTACTATTACCACATATACAAAGACCTTTTAAAAGTATAGCCTCTATTTTATCACATCTTTTAATTCTTTTGTATGCAGAACATGCATCTTTAGTTGTTTCGTATATTTTTCTAGCTTCTACTAAATCTTCATCTTGTTCTCCTTCTCTAGGTTTCAAAATTAATTCAATAGCCTGATTCCATTTACCTATTTTTATTAAATTATATAAAAAACAATTACATAAAAAAACATAAAAAATTAAATTAATAATATATTTAAATAAAGAATAAAATTACTTTGAAGTAAAGCTTTGCCTATTTCATAAGTTGGAATAGCAGCTACAGTACCAAATCTTTGTAAACCATAATAATTTATAAATCCATGATCTCTCAAAGAAATCATTGTTTTTTCAATTTGATCATCTGTTCCATTAACATTTCTCAAAGCAATTCTAAAGCAATTACCATTCAACATGCCTAATTTTAATGATTTTGTTTCAAATTTAAAATTCCTACATATGCTCCATGTACGTTCTTCGCTGCTTTTAATATATCTGTAGGTGTAACTTTTTTCACGCTAACCCATTGAGTGGTACATGCCCTACGATCTTTTGTTCCAGCATAAGTGAAATTATTTGGCTTCAAATATAAATTCATGGCTAATTGATTTAAAGCATCCATTGTATCCATATTTACTTTATGTAACAAAAAATAACAGTATTTTCCTTTTTTTTTCCAATCTATCCTATCATCTTTTCGAAAATTATGACCTAAGAAGAATATATATGACATTAATATAATATATCTTTTATTAATTATTATATAATATTATTATAAATTAATAATATTACATATATTGATTTAAAGCCAAATATCTAACATACTAGCACTACTATTTTTCTTATTTGGCAAAATCATCATGATTTTTTTATTTTCTTTATCTATAGTTTGACTAATAACATTCTTTATAGTTTTAGCAATTCTATGAATCGCTCTTCGTTGATCTTTATCCATATTTGTTACATCAATTTCTATAATAGATTGATCCGATTCTTTCAATCCCTGTAACTGATCCCAAATTGTATCTGATTGTATAATTTTTTTTAAATCTTCTAGATTCTCATTTTCTTCTCCATCTGATAAAATGTCTTGATTTGTTAATTTAACAATTTGTCCATCAAGAGCAATTTCGTTAACATGAAAATCTGTATATCTTCTTTGATAACACCAAAAAAACCTTCATTTCCTATAAACTCTGTAATACCAACATCGCATTCTTTTAATCGATTTCCCACTTCCAATTTCTTCTTTTTCCATCTGATTTCAAGCTTGACCAATTGCGTTTAAATGATTTTTTACCAAAATTATCACTTCGAAATTCTTTAAAAAAAATTCCAATGATAAAAATATCAGTTAATTTCGTAAAAATTAATAATCAAAATTAACTTATTCTTACCATTGTTACATGAATATCTATTTTTTCCATAATAATTAGGCGATCGATAATTTTTTTTGAATTTTTTTTAAATTTGTCATATTTATTTTCTTGTACAAGTTCTTGTTTAATATCACGATCTTTAAAATTATTATCGGAATTAATATTTTTATTTACCGTTTCAGACATTATATCTAACAATTTTTTTTTTGCGAAATTTTTAGAAATTGTTTGTTTACTTCGTAAAAAAAAATTTATTTTAAAAAATTCTTAAACTAATCAATAAGATCAGTAATTCAATGTAAGTGAAATATCCAAGATATATACTTTAAAAATTATTATTTTCAGAATTATAACCTTACGAATAACACATGCTTTAAAGCAGTGTTTCTCAATCAAAGATTTCAAATAATTTTATATAATTTCATATTCTAAAAAAGAAAGTAAAAAAAAGAAATAATATGAAAATACATACATATTAAGAAAAAAGATTATCATAGAAGTATTATTTATACATATATATATATATATTCATTCAATTGAAATTTATTTAATATAATATAAAAATAATATAAATTGATAAAATTTTAAATGTAATAAATATATATATTTAAGTAAAAAGTAAATTAAAATTAATTTTATTAAATATTTCATTATAATTAAATCATTTTATTTCACTTATTAATTGTTGTCAATTTATATATAATCAAAATTGGAAAATGCAAATTGTTGCTTCGGTCATTCGATGAGTCGAATATAATATAATAGAAATTGACGTGAAGATAGGCGATGTAGCAATTGTCCAACTAGTATATAATTATTTTTTACTTGTTTAAGATTGCAATTGTAATATATAGCTAACATAAAAAAATAAAAGAAAGATTTGTTAATCTCAACAAATAAGAACAATTTTCAGAAAATCTTGTATTTTATAATTAAAAAATGATTTTAAAAAGTGTAGCATCTCCTAGTATTTTTCATAAGGTTAGACAGTTAGGTAAGTAAAGTATTGAAATATATTTCGATTACTTACTTTTTAATTTACATAATTTCGACTATTTTTGATGACATTCATATAACCTTATTGGCAAAATCTTATTAAATCTTATTATATCTTGCTATATTCAATATATTACGCGAAAATAATATAAAATGTAATTTTAAATAAAGATGTAATTATATCATTAATTCTTTAATTTACGAAAATATAAATTTAATCCAATACTTGAAATTTTTAAAATATTTCTTCTTTAAATAAGTAATGCATTACAATATAATAATATTATTTTTTATTTTTGCAGAATCATTTTCTAAAACTACACTTTTTGCAAATTCGTGTAAATTGTTACAATTTACTAGAAAATCTACTAATTTTGCCATTTTTAAACAATGTTTAAATTCTAGTCTAAATAAAAATGAAAGACAATTACTAAAGGTAATAATTAATAACATTTAATAATTTAATAAATATAAAATTAATATTATCATTATTATATTCAATTTGCACTATCACTAACTTTTATATAATTTATATTTTTAGTTTCCAAGAAATACCATCATTCTAAATACAGAAATAACTCGCAAAGGAAGTTCAACTGCAAGTGATCATGTACGTATGTGGATTTTAGAAAAAATTGCTTCAGCAGCACTTCCAATTGTAATACCTGTTGCTTTAATTATGGAAAATATTATTTGTGATGGTATAATGTCCTTATTAATTGTAATACATATGCATTGGTAATTATTCATCTTTAAAATTTTTATTATTAATCATACTTTATATTATGATATTTATATGCAATGTTATAATTCATTAATTCAATAATGTACAATGTGTTAATTTATTTATTTATTGAAATTTCAAATAGGGGTCTGGAAGCTATTATTACAGATTATGCTCGTCCTAGAGTTGTTGGACCACTATTACCAAAACTTTTGCATTTTTCATTGATTTTCCTCTCAGCAGTTACATTATGTGGATTATTTTTACTTATAAATAATGGTCCTGGTGTTTCAAAAGCTATTAAAGAAGCTTGGGCTATTGGAAAAGAACCACCTAATGATTCCAACCCTAATGAATAATTTCTTAATATTTTATTAGACAACTTAGATGTTTAGAGAATTTAATTTCTTGTAAATTATTCAGAAATAAATTATATAACTTTAATTAATATATTGTATTACTTAAATAATATTTATGAAAATTTTTATTATTTTAAATAACATAAATTTTATTAACATAATAAACATTAATTATTTTATGTAAATCTAATTTATAAGTAATTATATAATTATATAATTATTTTATATATTAATAAATACATAAAATAATATCTATTATCATAAATTTTATAACAACAGAACAACATTTCTAATTAATTATTCATAAAAATATTTAAAAAATTAATATTATAATTATTATTATTAATTTTTATTTATACATATATTCGTAATTTTAGTTTTCTTCCATTTTAGCAACCTTGTCTATAAAAGATGCAAGTTTAATATCTCTTTGTGATAAACCATTTACATCATGAGAAGATAAAGTAATGTTTACTTTATTGTAAACATTAAACCATTCAGGATGATGATTCATTTTTTCTGCTTGCAATGCAACTTTGGTCATAAAACCAAATGCCTACCAATATAAACGTATAAAAGATGAATAATAATTTAATTTTTGATAATATTAAATATTTAATTATAAAAATGCATTCTTAATATGACAGTATACCTGATTGAAGTTTTTGAATAAAAATTCTTTGTAAATAGCATCTCTATCTTGTTGCACAGACCAATTGTTAAATAATAATGGTTTCAAATCTTTCTCTCGTTCTTCTTGAGTAAGTTTTTCCTGAAAAAATTATTGAAAAATATTATACAATTTAACTTGATATAAAATATTTTTTAAATATAATACTGTTAAAATCAAAATAAATTTTACTAAAAAAAGACTAAATTTAAATAATTCATTGTTATTTGGCAAAATTAAAATAATAACAATGAAAAATATTTCGCTTAACATATATCACGATAACGAGAATACGAGATCGATACGATTAGGAATTCGATCGTTTTTTTCATTTTGTTACATATAACAAATTCTGTGTAAATAGAAAATTATATTTATCATTTTAATTCATTAATTACAATTAATCGAAATTTCATTTTTTATCATTTTAATTATAAAAAATTATAAAAAAGTTATTTGTATATGGAAATTTCTTGAAATTTCAACCACTTGTTGTTATGCCCAAAAACAATACAAATTATAATATATAATATATATATTAATAATTTATCTAAACTAATAGAAGAATTCATAAGTAAAATCAACAATAATAATTTGAAAATTTATCAAATAGTTTTAAAATTAATAATCGTGAAATATTGAAAAAAAATTTTAAAACTTTTTACATATATATATATATACTGAAATAATGATTAAATATTTTATTTTTCATATATTATAAAAAATAAAAATGTATTCTATTTTATGAATATATTATAATAATCTTACCATTTTTCCTTTTTTTAAAATAGGAGTATATATTCCTCTGTGACCAAAAATATGGAATATTTTTTCCCGAGGAAGGGAAAATATCATTTCCCCACCATTCATAAATCGCATGCGCATAAGAATCGACATAGATTAATGTATGTATACTTTCTTTTTTTTTTTTAATTATATCGAAAAACTTTATTATAAAATAAATATCTTATTATTATATAATAAGTTATTATTAAAAATTTTTTTATAAAAAATATCAAATATAATTTTATCAAGTTTTTCTATTATATATGATAATAATACATATATTTATATAATTTCAGTATTATATATTTTAATAAGATATTAATATAATTTTTAAATTTTTATTCCTTTTATAATATAATTTTTTGAAATTCTGTGAAATTCAAAAAAACAAAATTATATTTTATTTTAACATAACATTAACATAACCTTATCAATGAATTTTATTTTGAATTAAGAAAAAATATGATATATATATATATATATATATACTTATAATATTATCGTAACGTGTTAATTCTTTTTAATTCTTAATAATTTTAAGATTAAGATTATATATTATATAATTTTTATAATTTTTTTTCAAAAATCACTAAACGAATTAATGTATATGTACAAACATACATATATATATATATATTATTTACAAAGAATCTCTATTCAGTTTTAGAAAAAAGCGGTTTATTTGAAATATATTATTGTTGAAATTTATTTTTGTAAATTTTTTATTTTATTTATTAAAAATTATATAATTAAGCTCAATAAATTTACGCATAAGTTCAATTGTCGTTCGATGAATCAATGAATCTTATTTCATTTATTGTATCGTGTCAGTTTCGAAGCAATCCATGACCGAGTAACAGACTACAGTTCAGATTTACTCTCTCCTGTCACGGATATTCAGTCTTTAACTATCTTTCTACCATCGTCTATAACCTGCAATGCAATGTTGTTAACATGTATTATATATTTGTGCAATATATTTTCAGATTGGAGTGCATTCTAGAGCTACACACGTTATCTTACTCGTGGATGAAAAATAAAATTGCGCAGCCCTTTCGCTCAGATGTTGGAATATCTAGATGCTACCGTTTCTTCCATCATCCTCTGTATCTTTCACATAATTTAATAAATTAATTAAGTTTGATAGTGACAAGAAGTGGACGATCAAGATATACATAAATTGAGGTTAAAACAATACAAAAAATTGACATTAAATTGCATCAATGAATTGATGATTTTGAACGCAGAAATTTTTTAAATTCTGTATATCACGTATATAATCTGTATATCACGTCGTAGAAATATAAACGAAATGTTTATACATATAATGGAAAATTCAGATATCAAAATCACATATTGTAATATAAGAATTTTAGGAAGAAAATAAAAATAATCTTGTAAAAAAATTTTGTATTTTTGAAAACATTAGAAATATTTTTGTCATCTTCTTTTGAATTATGTTCTCTTAATAAAAAATTGCAAAATTTAGATAAAAATTTTTAATATCAAAGGTTTATAGAAAAATTTCATGTGTTACTTTTTTCTAACCATATCTCATAAAACAAAATTATAATATTTAATGTACATGAATCATATGTGTACATAATTTATAAAACATGAATCTCTGTTATTACAATTATAAATATTTTGCGTATAAATTCTTTTTAGAATATATTTTTCTAACACAAAATCGAAATTTTTGTTTAATTTTACAATTTTGTACCAAGAGATATTATATACATATAATTGAAAAAGAAATGAGAAATAGTAACCTGTTTTATATATTCTTTTATATTTTTTAAACATTCCAAAACATTACAAAACTATATAATATAAAACACACACACACACGTACACACACAAAATATAAAAATATATACGTTATAAAATTTGAAAATATGATATAGAGAAAAAAAAATATATATAAATATCTTTATGGAACATGTATACGATATATAAAAAAACAAAATATGAAAAATAATACATAAAATTATATAAATGTTCATAACCTAACTTAAAAAAATAATATATTTATATTGAAACATTTATTTATTTATATATAGCATATTTTACATATACAATATATTTCTCAAGTATATTTACTTTTCCCGAGAATATTTTTTCTTTATTATTTCTTCTTCTGCGGTATTCCGAATTATATGATAAAATCTTTAAATAATAATTAATATCCTATCCTAATTCCTTTCTCTAATTCTGTAAATTTCTAACGAAGAATAAAGATCGAAAAAAGGAGATCAGCACCATCTCGCGTTTGAATCTTCTTCTCTATTTATGACATCACGAATACCTCCTTACGTATTCTATGTTCCTATTAACGAATCGAAGCTTCCAGGATCCAAACGCGAGATGGCGCTGATCTTTGCTTTATAGGCTAAATGTATTGTAAATATAATTCCGTAAATATTTTACAGGATCAAAAGAAAGAATCGTATATTATAATTCTATAATATTTAGATATAAGTAAGTACTTGTTAAAATGGGCATTTATATCGAAAAACAATTTGAATCCGAATATTTATATATATATTCTGTAACAAGAAACTCGTAAAGTAAGTAATAATTAATATTATAAATAGCTTAGTAGGATTTCATAAACAATGATATGCAATCTATCAACATATCTATCAAAAAATATAAATCACACGTGATTCTATTAAAAAAAAATAATTTGATATCTAAAAAAAAAAAGTAATTTTAAAATAGCAATCCATTCATTTACTTATTATTATAAGTAAATATCATAGAAGAATAATATCCAAATATAAATGCGATTTATTATATATATATTTTTAGTTAATGTAATGAATTCCACGACATATTTTTAAATATATTCATACACATATTGTTAAACATATTCTTAAATACACTATATACATTGTTATAATACGTAGCATTATTTCATTTTTGTTAAAGTTATGCGAATGAAGATGTTATACTGAATCAATACAAAATGTAAATATGTACGTGATATGATTATCATTGCTTATCATCAAGAAAATCAAGGATTTTTCGTTTTCCGTAAATATAAAATATATTAATTCAACAACCACAATGGATTTTATATGTATATAATGGATTTGATATGTTTTACATATCAGAGAAATCTGCAAATTACTTCATTTTATATATATATATATATATATATATATATATATATATATATATAAGAGAGAGAGAGAGAGAGAGAGAGAGAGAG